TGAGAACCTAATGAATAAATGAGAAATCTCCAATGACATAACCATCAGATCATAAATCGGTGTCGAACCAGAAGAAAATGTTACTGAAGAACACTGTCTAGGTTAGTGTGGGTACTATTCTCGAAACTTCAACATAAAGTGCAGTACTAAAATAAATTTTAAAAGAAATTGAACGTATTAATTGTTTTATTTATATACATTTTTTTTCATAAATGTTCAGATCGATGTGTATATATTTTTTAAATATATTGTTTAAAATATTTTATCTATTAACGAAATATCCTATTGTTTTAATACTACCTCGTGGCTTGGTTTTGTCATCATCTTCTTTACGAACCTTGTACACACATGCCCTTTTTCTTCCCTATTTATAGGCCCTCGGTTATAAATATTCTGTTGGCACCTGGAACTGAAGGAAGAGTTCAAATGTGTAGATCTGTCCGAACTGTACCTAATGGGTCAATTGGATATTTCAAAACATAAAAATGGACAACTAGAGTTTCTTTTATTTTATTAACGTGTAGTGATATCTTATAATAATGGTCTCATTTCACTCCTCCTCCCTTCCCCCTCTCGTCATTCGGAATAGATTATATATTGGAGAGATAAGTGTACCTTGGACCATCCTAAGAATAAGAATTACACCGTGGAAAATTTAGGCAAAATTGAGTAGTATGCATGCCAGAACACTTTCCAATTGATTTTGATACCTCCGATCCGCTCCGTTTTTAGATAATATTGATAAGTGTTTTAGAATTGGAAAAGTGTGTTCTCTTTACTTTATATAGTAATTTTTCATAACAAAAAAATACATGAAAATACTCAAAATTATTATTATTGTGTATAGCAATCTCTGTAGCTTCTTTTGAAAGCAAGTTCTAAGCAAAATATTTTAGGACTATTCTAAGAAAATTAAATTAAAAAAAAAAGATCTTGGGAAGGAAGGCCCAAGGAAGATTGATATAATTTCAAAATATGTTTCTTGTGAGTACAAAAACTTGATTTATGGTGTTTACTGAAGTTGTTCATAAATGATTATTTACTGACTGCAAGCGTAATATATAGTGGGATTTCAACATATGACATGAAAAAGTTAGTTGACAAGTGTTGATAGGTGATACTTATTATTCAATAATATATATATAAAAAAATAAAATATATATATAAATATTATTATCTATCCTAGAGGGTCATTGTCAGTGATTCTTAGTTTTGATATTCTGTTGTAATATTTTGTTTCAATTAAATATTGGGAGAGAATGACATCTTCTTCTCTGTCTCCTTAAATATCCTTCAATGTTGTGGACTACTTTAATTTTTGCATTTATATTTCGTATTGGGGACACTCTAGTAATAAGTAACTGTCTGAGGTGTATTGTCACATTGTTGAATAATAATTATAATTCCTATTGCAACAAATATTGCCCAAGGTACGATATAAAGTGGCCCACGGTACAATTATAGTAATTGTACCTTGGGTCATTAATTATTTATAAAAATGTATTTTTTTCATAGTTAAAATCTGCTAATAAAATAATGTAAAAATTAACATAGTGTCTTCAAAGTTTAACCAAATACCAACACTTACTGGACAAACACTCTAAACTTTCAATTAATTACAAAAAGACTTATATACATAACTATAATAAGACCTATACGCAGTTGAGCTTTGGGGCTCCACCAAACCATTGAATTCCTATCGTATCCAATCCTTACAATCCAAAATCCTCCGTAAAATCCTTAATGCTTCATACTTTGTCACAAATAAAACCATTCATAAAGACCTTAATGTGCCATTTGTCGCTGATCTAGCCTGAGCAAGATATCTATCCTTTCATGATAAACTCCAGTCCCATCCAAATCCCCTTGTTTCCACTCTTGCTTCTTCCTCGATTCCTGATAATCCTCCTAGGCGTCTGAAAAGAAGATGGCCTCGTGAAAAGTTCGTGAGTAACTTAATTGTAAAGCATTGAGGTCCTAGTCTTAATGTGACCGTCTCATACCCGCTTTGAATTTAATTATGACATTATTAAAGTTGACAAAAAATGGAGGGAATGAAAAAGACAAGTCTCCACCTCGTTGGAGTAACGGAGCTTAAAATAGCTACTTTTAAAGAGCTCTTAAATAAACTTCACATAAATTTCTTAATTGCATTCTTTTTTTATCTCTGGATATAAGTCAATGGGCATTTACTAAGGTAATCCGAGCTTTGTGTTCGTAGGATTTTATTTTGAAAAATACTTATGCAAAATTAGCGAGTTAAAGTAATGAAATTCAGAAATGCGAATTTTCATATTCGTCACTCTAATGTGGTTTTGATGATAAATGCTCTCTTAATTATCGAGATTTAGACAGAATTAGAATTCCTCAATTTTTATGCAATTAGAGGTCCACTAGTTATATTCCTTGCCCTTGCCTTATTGTTGTTATAAATCCCTAAAGGGCGACCTGGTTAGAAAGAATGACAACCTGTCTGACAATTCGAACGGAAATTATCCGAAGTCGGAGATGAAAAGAAAACTGGGATATTCTCTAGCAAGGGGTCGCTTGGCACTTACAGACCCCACTGAAATTAAAAAACATAGATTTTTCTTTCTCCCGAAATTTTGTTCCAAGTTTGCTGCGACTCAGATCTGTTTTTGTTTTGATTCCTTAGAAAAATATTGTTTGTTTTCTACTTACAAGGTCCCGTTTTTTTTTTCTATTATAAGCTAAATATGGCGTATATGTTTTCTGACAACATATAATATAGTTACAAGGTTTTTTTTTAGCAACAACTCATGCATCCACCTTGCTATTCTATTTAGTTAACTATTTTTTAAATACGTATTTATATTAGGAAATCTTGTTGACGAAAACGATATAAATTATCTGAATATGATGTTAAAGGTATCAATTAATTGATCCTTTCACTTGACAGAATGACTAAATCAGATTTCAACATTTTTGAGTAAAGTCATTTTAGTGATATTTCTAGTTGGCAAATTTATAATATCTGTACATACAGTGGGTAAGAGTATTTCAGAGTAGGTGATTGCAGTGTTGAAATAAAGAACTGTGAATAAAGTTATAATAAACTGTGAATAAAATTAATAATCAAAACTGTTAAAATTGGAGTTAGTGATTCTGTCAATTAAAATGGTCAATTACAAAATATAGTGTTTTATTTATTTTATTGACGTTTTATCCCACAATTTAGGGCTTCATTAAGATTGCAACTTCGATACGAACCAACACTCCCCAACACGTTAACATTACTCGGTTACGAAGCACATAGGTACGGTTACGAACTGCCTATTGAATCTTTTTGTTTCAAAACATCATAAATAATTATAGATAGAAAGTAAACTGAATATAAATGTGTAAAGTTAATTGAAATATTACAACACTGAGGTTATATCCAACGGATCAACCGATCCTAAAAGTTATGATACTGCTGAGTCATCGGTGATTCAATCTCCGAATAAAAGAACGCGCTGAATTTCATCTATAATTACCATCGGTGAGTTAAGGCCCGGTTTGATAGATTTCCGATCCAGTTTATATGTGGATAATATATTATTCATGGTTATCGCAGTGCTCGTCTATATCTCCTAGGTCGGCTTTTTCCCCCTTAAGTTCCTGTCAGGCCGGACATACATTTGTTCGCTTGACAACAACACATGCATCTTGTCGTCTTTATATTTATCGCTGTCGTTCCGGATCCGTTGACTTGTAAAAGCTCATAACTGTCTGATATTATGGGACTACATGATCTTCATCCATTGACTTCCATATTTTTCATTCCCAGGATGTTAATGGGCCCTTTGTCTCATCCAATGTCATCTATTATTTCTATTAATTTATGTGCGAACACCAGTTTGTAGTTTCTAGCTTGAATTATATTGCTTTGATGGAATCATATAAAGTTTTGCACCAAAAAAATAAAATTTGCAACTAATTAATTAGATACAATACCCATTAATTCTTTCTTCCTCGCCTTTTAGGTTATATGGGGTTTTTCCCGTGCTAGGAGTTAGGACGGGAATTAATGCCAAAGTTAAAAGTTCTCCGCCATCGGAATTTGAACTCGTAACTTCGGTTTATCGCAGGCTGCTCCCGTGAGCATGGAGGCCACCCCGCCCGCTATCTAAGAGAATACTTAAAATGCAATACTTAATTTGACAAAACGTCATTTTTATTATATATTATTTACAAATAATATTGATTGAGTAAACTAATTTATTCCCAATTATTTTTAATAGTATATCCACTATCGTCTATTCTCACAAATCCTGCCCTCATCAGAATAAACCTATTTTTTAAAGTATTAGTTGTAAAGTGCCACTTCATGAAACGTATTTTGTTGTTTATAGTTTAAATACGAATTATTTACGATACTTTGCGTTTGAAATACTTAATCTGAAAATAATTTAAATACTTTGTAATTAAAATATACTGTACTTAAAAAACACGAAATACTTGGTGTTTTAAATACTGTATTTTAAAATAATAATTAAATTACTTTCATTGGCCAGGTATGGTCTGTTCCAGATCTTTACAATGCCTCCAAACAATCGTGACACCGTAAAGTGATTTTTTAGTAATGAATGGATTTATTGCTCAGTGTAGCCCGGAAAGGTCCGAAACTATATTTCAAGAAATGGTTCAGGCCTGTCAATTATTTTTTAAAATGTTAATCAAATATTAAGTAGCAATACAGACACATTGTTAATATACAATTGTTCGGTTAAATCAATGTTCTGCTTGAATATTCATAAGGTAGATCGTATAGTTTCTTTGTTAAAGGATTCACACTGATAATACAATCCGAGCCAAGTTTCATCACAGGTTGTGCAGAATTATTCTTTATTGGCCCATGACCAATATTTTTTTATTTGGTCGTCCGAACTCAAACATTACACTGTATTACTTAATAAGCCTCTAACAGTAAATTATAAACTTATGTGAAGAGAATATTTTATCTATAATTTTATTTACTGTTATTTTTATTTTTCTAGATGACTGTGAGAATGGTAACTTGAAGATGAAGAATAAGATACAATTAAATGGCCACTGTAAGTTCATTATAAAAACTATTGTTATTTATTTTAGTTTTATATTTTTTTTTGTTATACAATAATCAATACAATAACTATAATAAATTAAACTAAAATAAGAATTAGCAAGTATTATTACATGATAATAGTGGATTGGTGGTTGACTGTAGTGAATAATTGAAGAGAAGTTGGTTGGGGTGTTCAGTAAAAAAATAAATAAATAAATGATATTTATTCTTATATTCGTCGACGTTTCGACTCAAATTTCAGGGCAAAGAAAATACTAGATAACCATATGAGGAACTATTAACTTATGGAGAAAAAAAATTAATTAAAAATTACTATATGATTTTTCCTTAATAAACTGATGCTCATCTTTTCTTTTTCTGATTTTAGAATAAAAAAACCTGTGCCCATTTGTTACTACCTTTTGATTAATTTAATTTTTTAAACTGTATTTTTGAAATTAATAATGTTTTACCACAAATTTCTCCAAAATAAATTAATAGAGTTTTTAGTAATTTTATAATTTACAATTTTCATTTCTTTTTTTTTTTCCTTAATTTTTTTCAAGTCTTATATAACCTTTTATGGTTTTGATATACTTAATTTATTAAAGATTGTTCTACACTTTTTTTTTCAATCATAATTTAAAACCAATATTTGAGGGAAAAAAATCTTTAAATATGATTTTCAAAATTTACCAAAAACTTTTATTTACCTTCAAATTTATTAAGTTTTAAGAGGTATAACTGTTGATATAACCAGTTGTTGACACACAAAAAAAAAATCAAAACCTATAATCCCTCTGCCCCATAGGTTTGATCTGTATCCCTTTCAGTTTAGAAACAAAAAAAAAAAAAAAAAAAATAGCCTAATCTTTAAATCTGTATTTTTAATGGTTAGCTTTGAGGTCTCTGTTAAATGAGGGATAAGCTGATTTACGTTTACTTTGAGTTTTAATGTTCTCCAGTTGCTATTTATTAACTGCAGTTAGTAACTTTTGTTGCTATTTTTAGTGTCTCGACTTTTTAAATGATATTTTCCTCACGATTATTTTATAAAAAAAGTATATTTAATTCATGTTATTTTTTACGTTTAAATACTTAAAAAACTGTGGACTATTCATATATTTTTTGTTAATCAATATGTTCTGAACTCGACCGATTGATCTCATTGTTAGTTATTCCTCTTTAATTAGACTTTTGCACATAAGCCCCGCCAGTTACTTTTTTAAATAAGAAAAAGTAACTGTTATAGAAAAGTATCAGTTAGAATCTATATTGTTATTTTTCTATTACATAAACATCATCTATTAACAGATTATATTTTATAGGATTAAAGAAAACACATATCCTAATAAAAACACATGATTCCTGATAAAACTTAAAGACACCCTTCTCTTCGTTATTCAAACTGGAGTATAACCTAAACATTTGAAAGTTAACCTATATCAAAAATACCGTTTAGTATATTTACCATAAACCAATGATATACATATATATATATAGATAGATAGATAGATATAGATATAAGTATACGTAAATTATATTTGTGAATATGAAAACGATGATGTGATTTGTTTTGTTGAATTTCAGGCTCGTTGAATCATGTTCAAGTCTAAAAAATTTTTATAATTTACAATCATTTAAAACAGTATATTTCTAAATATAGAGATTATTTTTATATACCTAATTACTAATCATGTACCTGTCCTTTTCACTTATGCGAATTGTATGCGTCTGCTCATAAAATTTTTTATTCTTGTTATATCCACCTTTAATTATTTATAACATTATTATTACTCAATTCTTTCTTATTATATATATATATATATATATATATATATATATATATTATTAACAGTCGAGAAAATATTATAACCTAAAATAGTATAACCTATACACATGATTCCTGATAATACTTAAAGCCTTCCTTCTCTTCGTTATTCAAACTGTAGTATTACCTAGAGGAGTTCATTTTGCTAATATAATATGAATCTGTTAACAGATGTTTATACAAAAGAATAACAACGTTGATTCTTTTAACGTTGATAACTGATAATTTTCTCTAACATTTACTTTTTCCTATTTAAAAAGTAACTGGTGGGGCTAATGTGCTCAAGACCCATTATTAATATAACTAACCATGAGTTGAATTTTGATTATTTTTCTGATCACCATTTTACTTCTCTCACCGTCATGATTTCAACTCTATGATAAGCATTTATATTAACACTGATCTCTATGAAGGAATTGTTAGTCAATATCAGTATTATCCTATCTAGAAACGAATCAACGAAAAAATAAAGATATTTAAGTAGTCAATTGATCGATTATGATGATGCTACAAAATTGTCAGGAATTTCAGTCGTTCAGGCTAACCCAATAAAAATATCGACTGGAATTCCTGACATTGTTTCATCCAAAGAAAAAATGATATTTATCCTTTATTTTTTTTACTGCAATTCGAATCTTGAAACCCGTAAGAAATGGGAAAATGACTAGTATGGTATTTGATTTAATTGTTTGAGAAAATTTTATTTAATATATATGTATATATATATTTTTTTTATTGAATATTAATACAGTCATCCACACTGAAGGATATTGGTACTAGGGCTATAGTATTCATTCCCACAATATGTACATAAGAAAAGAAATCAATATAAATAACCAAAGTAGGAAAAAAACAAATATATATATATATATATATATATATATATATATATATATATGTAGATTGATAGATAAATAAAAAGATAAAGTAATATACAAGATCAGTAAAAAAACAGATTAAAGCGGAATGATAATAAAATAAATAAAACACATTCACACCTATGTATAATATTTACATTGGCCCAGGGGAGTCTGAATCAAGATTTGTCCCCCAATGTGGAAGCCAAAGCTGGACTCCAGGAGATCCCAGTGCTTCACTCCCAGGCGCTTCACTGGTATTGTATTATTTAATAATAAGGTTTAAAAACATTCACCTAATAAATACATATTTTTATAATAATACATGCAACAATAAATTTATAGTTATTTCAGATAAAATTAACAATGATGACGAGCATTCTGATTAATGCAATGACTTTTTAAAAGAAATATCTGCTTCATTGATAACTCAAACCAAGTAATTGTAAAGCTAATAAAGGACAAAACAGAGTATAATATAAATAATAATAATAGTAAATAACGAATCTGCTTGTGCCGTTGCAACGGAGTTGAATATATTGTAGTTGGGTTAAGTCCTTAAGTAAATTTTTGGTGGTCTTGAACTTTTTATTACGTTTAGTACAATTCGACTTTATTTATCTATTGAAAGAAGATACCAATTTATAGTTGTTCTTATTTTATAAATAATAGTTAAACTTAGTGCTCGATCTTCTGATTTCATAGGAAAAAAATCCATCAAAGTACTAAGTGATTCAAGGTTATGAAATTTCGCTATAAACCCACGGTATATTGTAAAAAAATAAATAATTAAAAAGTTACTAAAAAGTGATATTTTTTCTTTGCTCAAGAAATGACGAATTGATGACAGTATTCCATCAGAATTGATATTATGTGAACGGGGCATTAAGTGTATAATATGTATTATGTATAAGTCATCAAATATAGATTATGTAAATACTTTCAGGAAAATTCCTTATAATCAAACTACTGGAGAAAAGTAAGTCAATAGTCTACCCCTGTCTTCGTTCGTCATTTAATCTTCTTTTAAAATTTTTCTATAGAATAATTTTTCATTTGAATGTATCTATAAAAAAGATTAGAATATTTTCACGATCGCAAAAATTTCCCTTACTGTATATTCCATTGGAAAGTCGTTTGAATGAACGCTTGTAGGCAGTTCAATGAACGACAAGAGCTTGTTGTGGGCTTAACTAGCCATAATTATAACTCCTCAGCTCTTGATCAAACTTGTGTTTTACTTCACTATCATTTTTTGTTTCTTAGTATTTTTCTAAAATAATATACTATTGAAATGTATCGAAGATAGTTTGATCATTTATTATTATTATTATTTTATATTATATTATTATTATTATAATATAATATAAGCCTTTTATTATTATTTATTTTATTTTTTTATCAGAACTCCTAGATACAGTTATAAAAGTTTCGGAGATGTCTGATATATCTATCTAATTATAATTTATATAATTTAGCTCTGATTCTCCTCTTCCACCTACATTTTGACTACTCTAATGGTCCTATTTGGTATGAATTGAATTTGGTAAGGATGTTTTCTAGACAGAAAATGCCATGAAAATTTGGATAAATTTCGACATGTTCAATTGATTTTCTTGTTTTAAAACTTTTGCCTACATTTGCATCACCTCAAAATCGGATTAGTTGGTTAAAATTTGGTGTTGAACTAGCGCTTTTTGGTGGTATTTTTATAGGACATTTTTCTCCCACTCTATGTGTTTTTTTTTTACGATTTTTTTAAGTTTAATGGCCCTCTACTCTACAAGAGCCTTCTAAGTTAGTTAGAAGGTTGACAATTTTTACACGATTGATTTAATGCCTGAGAAATACTATTTTGGTGTTTGGAAATAAAACATGAAAGACCAATTCAGCGGCTCAATTGATTAATAAATTCTATGCCATTTTCTCAGGCGAGCATTAGTGAAAAAATTAAATCACTTTTCTCTTCCTTTGAAAAATAAAAAAATATGACCTCAGATTATTATTATTATTTTAAATAGATGGTATATCCATCTTTATTATTTCTTTAGTTCTTAATTTTATTTAAAACTAGCTTTACACGGTCAGTGGCTTAGCCTGGCAAAATGAAAAAGAAACAAAATAGAAAGCACATATGAGTGGATTAGTAGCAAAGGACACTAAAAAGTTGGGAAACAAATTTGTCTGTAAAATGGCTTCAATTTAAACTAATTCTAATGGATTTTTTTCTCATGTTTCAAATTGAACATTCATAATCATTTGAGTGAATACGCCGTCATTTATAGTCATCAGAAACAGTCTGAGTTGAACTTATAAAACTAA